AGGCCCAGTAGCAATGGGAAATTTTGTGCATTTTGTCCAAAATTAACATAGAAATTATAGACAAATACATATTAATGTGCAAAATTGTTGCACCAAAATTTGGTTTGCCATTCCAAGAGTTAGTGGATTGATTTTATACATGTACAGCAGAAATTTCTTTATAGTTTTTAATAATATACTGTGGAATACTTTATTTTCGCTGGAATTAATTTTCGCTGAAAAGGCTTTTTGGGCGTTTTGTATGGAATTTATTTTCACTGAATTTTCACGGTATCATCCCTTCAGCGAAAATAAATTCCAAGCAAAAATAAAGTATTCTACAGTACATCACTTTTAATATGGGGTAAAATTAGAGTGCAGTATATGTACCAGATAATGTATAATAAGGTTCATTGCTTTTCCCAGTTTACATATAGATTAAATAAACTTTTAATTTAAAAATTTCAATGGCAGACAAGGTGAGTATCACACAGTCAAAATAGATGTTACTTCCTGTCAAAGACTTTAATGTCAAAATCAACTTTATTTGCCTTTGACAAATCAAAGCATTTTTTTTCCAGATTTTGTCAAGAAATTTATCAAGAGCTGTAACCATTAGGTCTAAAATTAACAAAGAAATTGTCGAAAAATACATAAAAATGTGCAAAACAATACACCAACATTTTGGTAGAAAAAATATGGTGGCCATTATAACTTTGGAGGAGTATTGTGGTTAGGCTAGAAAAAAAACACTTTTTGCTTTGGTCAGCATGTGTGTCAGTAAACGTTTCAGGACAAGACACAAATAGTAGTTGTGCAGAGATATCCATCTAAACCTAACAGTTTTAAGTAAACAGAGATAATATGAATCCTTGGTTCATGTATTATGAGCATATCAGTTTTCAAATAAACTCTCTTTGTTATGCATGGTGTAATTCACGGCATCCCAGTAATTCACCTGCTTTGCACTACTAAACCCAATCAGATCTCAAGATAAAATCAGGATATCTGTATAGTAAACATCCAGAAACTGAAACTGAACTTGACCTACTGATGGAGTTGACATTGACTGCGTGTCGTAGTAAAAATCTGTGCATGAGTATTGGTTTTGTGGGTCTGTCCACTTAAATTTGGGAACAGGGCTTTGGTTTTGATCAGTCATGGGAGAGTTGAGCCAATCACTACCTGCAGTGACTGGAACCGTCCCTTAAAATCAACAGGTAGTTCACCCCCACAATGGAATGGAATCACCTATGTGTCCTCAGGTTTTTTTTTGTTTTTATGCAAATCAGATCATTTTAAAAGGCTCACAGCTCTTAAGAAAACAAGTAGATAACCTATTGTTAGGTAATTTCCAATATCACTGATGTGACAATGTGGAGATAAAACGGAAGGTGTAAAGCTTTCGTTGTAAGTTGTATACAAAAAACAAGTATTCAAATTAGTTGTGGTTTGTTTAGGCTTGGTATTAAGTTACATGCTATACAGTAGGGAGTAACTCCACTTGGGGATTGCTTAGTGGTGTTGAGTTGACGCCTCGTACTATTCACGTTGATCAACGATGCACACTCGGTGCATCATGATAACATCTTGGTGAACATACACGGTGAGTGTCTCCCATTCAAGTTGTAAATAGCTCAACTAGTTCGGTGAAAAGTATCGTCGTCATTCAATTGACAACTTGATATCTGGTTTACTCTGCTCCGGGTACCTGCTTGCCAAGTTTTTAAAACTTTTAGCACTTGATCTATCGCATTTCTATGCAGTTTTTAGTTGCAGACAAGGTCAGGGATCTACAGATTTAATTTCAGAATGCTTTACTGCTCAGCAAGAAATGTATTATTGTCAGTGACCTGAAAAGTACAGGATTGCATCAAATATTTACGATCACTTTACAAACGTAATGGTACACGAGTTTTGTTTTTTACGACCAACTCACTAGAGAAAAATGGTATTTCGACATTACTAGCAAGGTTATGTACTCTTTGTACATTAGACAAGGTTATGTACTCATTACAGAGCTGAGTATATTTCTGGTATTTCCAGTGTGCATGGATGTTTGTTATTACTTAACCCTGATGCGGGGACGGTAAATTTCTCCCAAGCTTCAGGCATTTTGCCTGTATAATCACAGTAAGTACATTGCGTGAATTTTGCCGGTTTTTGCCAATTAATCCCCGGATTATCATCTTGGTCATGTTGCTAGTCATTAAAAATTAATTCAGACCGTTAACAAGACTAAAATGTTGCTTATACATGACACACATTGTTTGAACATGTTTTTTCAAACAAATTTTACTGAATGATTTCATGTTTACCTACAGCATTGTCTAGTTCTTTGGGTGGCAGCCAAAACATGCACAGTTGACAGGCCTTTAAACCAGTCGATGAGTTGATCACGTTTTATCACAGTAAATCCAAAGTGGTGTTGTAGTTTTGTCTCTTCTCTAACTTTTGATGTGTTCTAGATGTGGAGAAGCTCATTTTTATGATCCTTAGAATGTGATCAACTGGTAATTACCAATCAGTTGACAACAACCATCTCAGCTCTTTAAAGTTACACAATAAGACAAGTAAGACAATAAAATCGTTTTAAAGGTAGTAGTCCACATAATTGAGTTAAATACAATTAAACTTAATTTGACATCATTGATTTTAGTGCTAAAAGTTCATCAACTATTTTTGCTGTATTTTTATTATTATTTTTTCTCCCATTTACTTATTAAGCAAATGCACTTTTTAAGAGCAATTAATTTATTTGTTCTGAGACGCTTCCTATTATTTGTGCATTGGTTATCCATTTGTCTCATTTCATTTTTAAAAAATACAAGAACCAATCATATAATATCTATTTCGGAAAAAAACAAAAACAAATATGGTTCCAAATGAGTGAACACCTGGTGATATGCTATGTAACATGGTAGCATGATTACAGTTTGCATGTGTCTATTAAACCAGTATGTATAGAAACTGTCTAGGTACAGTTTGCATGTGCCTATTAAACCAGTATGTATAGAAACTGTCTAGGTACAGTTTGCATGTGCCTATTAAACCAGTATGTATAGAAACTGTCTAGGTACAGTTTGCATGTGCCTATTAAACCAGTATGTATAGAAACTGTCTAGGTACAGTTTGCATGTGCCTATTAAACCAGTATGTATAGAAACTGTCTAGGTACAGTTTGCATGTGCCTATTAAACCAGTATGTATAGAAACTGTCTAGGTACAGTTTGCATGTGCCTATTAAACCAGTATGTATAGAAACTGTCTAGGTACCGTTTGCATGTGCCTATTAAACCAGTTGAATATGTATAGAAACTGTCTAGGTACCGTTTGCATGTGCCTATTAAACCAGTTGAATATGTATAGAAACTGTCTAGGTACAGTTTGCATGTGCCTATTAAACCAGTTGAATATGTATAGAAACTGTCTAGGTACCGTTTGCATGTGTATAGACATACTGTGGAATACTTTATTTTTGCTGGAATTAATTTTCGCTGAAAAGGCTTTTTGGGCGTTTTGTATGGAATTTATTTTCACTGATTTTTGATGAGTTTAATGTGAAATATAGGAAAATAAGTATATTCGCTGGATTTTATTTTCACGGAATCATCCCTTCAGCGAAAATAGCAAAAATAAATTCCAAGCGAAAATAAAGTATTCTACAGTAGTCTCGGTGTTGTTTACATATACATAGACAGCTGTCTAGGTGTTGTTTATATGTGCATACCCAGCTGTCTAGGTGTTGTTTATATGTGCATACCCAGCTGTCTAGGTGTTGTTTACATATACATAGACAGCTGTCTAGGTGCTGTTTACATGTGCATACCCAGCTGTCTAGGTGTTGTTTATATGTGCATACCCAGCTGTCTAGGTACAGTTTGCATATGCATAGAACTGTCTAGGTACAGTAACATGAGAAAATACAGTATTGGGGGAAAAATTTGAACAAATAAATTGCTGTCGGGCATATGTGAATTCAATATGTACAAAAAAGCAAATTACTCCAGCCCCTTAATTTCAAAAGGTAAATATAGATGATTCTGAAATCATCACAATTCATTGCATTACTGTAAAATACTTTATTTTAGCTTGAATTCATTTTCGCTGAAAAGACTTTTTTGGTGTTTCTAATGGAATTTATTTTCACTGATTTTTGACAAGTTGAATGTAAAATATAGGGAAAAAAGTATATTCGCTGGATATTATTTTCACTGAATCATTCCTTCAGCGAAAATAGCGAAAATTAGTTCCAAGCGAAAATAAAGTCTTTTACAGTACCGGTAATATATTTCACTTAATATTGCCACAATCTTTATCCTGTTTACGAGTCTGAAAGTATTGTCAGTTTTCTCCTACATTTTTGGTCAATAAAGTCAATAAAAAAATTGGAAGATGGTGTTGTGTGATTTGATATGTTGCTCAGAAACACTTGAAAGTGAGCTGTTTTATTATTTGCAAAAACAATGAAGTTTTAAATCACGTGTTCCTTACTCCGTAATATTAGTTGGCGTCCAAAACAGTAACATTCTTTGAGTAACAGGTAATCCAACACACTGACGCACAGTAATCGTAGAGTAGAGCTCCTGACACATGAGCCCCACACAATAATGTTCACTGAACTGAGATCACCATACACTTAGTTTAGGGTGTGCACATAACCGGAAAATGTCTATTCTTCTTACTGCTCGGATGCCATTTAATGGGTGTTATTCTCCACCATTGTTCAAGATTTTTTTTTAAATTCAGGTTTACGCCACCGTGTGAGGTCAGTGTTGAATTTGTCCCGAGGCGTATAGCTCGCTCAAAAAATACACTACATGTTGCTTTTCATGTTTTTTATATATCGGTTCTCTCGTGATTGGGAAGTTTATATCATAACAAATTCTTTGTGCGAGCTGTTTTGTTTAATTGTAATTCATTGCAAAGTGATACATGGCCGACGACACGTGGATTGTTGAATACCATGTTTACCATTCCATATGCTCATAAATTAAACAATTGTATATATTTTTTTACAGATGAGATTTTACTTGACAAAGAAGAATGTCCATTGGATATTGCTCTGAACTCCCGAGTGACTCCTCGATTTGTCTTTCGTATGGACCCTCATCGCAATAGTCCTGTCACCCACCCTGAGACTGTCCCCACACCAAGCCCTTCAAATAAACGCCGCAGCCTGTTCACAAAATTCCAAAACATAAAAAACACTATGAGTGAGAACAATATGGCTCAGAATAGCCTCCGGGTTTGCCATTCCGCTGAACTGCTCACCAATGGCATGGACTGCAATCTCACGGACGACTCAAGCATAAGTAGTGACCTGAGTAGCAGCATATCAAGTTCTAGCATGACGGGAAAGAAAGAAAACAAAGATAGAATAGCCATGACAAACGTTCAAAATGGTGGCGCCACTGGTTTGCTCATCAATGCTAATCTGCCACAAAATAGAAAGAATGGCAAAAACAAGACAACCCGTCAACCTGCTCGAAATAAAGCAAAGAAAAATATGAAATCTTCGTCATCTATGGCGCTCATGTTTCAAAGAAGATTCAGTCTACGTAAGCGAGATAAAGACGAACCTGTTACGTCGATGAATGTGGAATTGTCCACTGAGACGGCAACACCTGGTGTATTAAAAATCTATGGTGATCAAATTCGGCCCGGAGCTGAGTATAAAAGTGTACTGGCATCAATGAGATCTTCGGCTGTTGAACTTGTCAAGGAGGTGCTAGAAAGGTACGGTCTCGCAAGAACTTCATACAAGGAATACGTTCTTTGCGATGTGATTGGCAAGTTTGTGAAATCTGAAGAAAAAGGACAACGTTGGCAGATGGAGTGTGTGCGAGTTGTTGAAGACAATGAGAAGCCTTTAGTTTTGCAGTCATTCTGGAAACCCGGGGAAGGTTTGTCGCGAAGGTTTGAAGTGCGAAACCGATCCTTGGTTGCAGAGGAACTTGGTGAAATTGACACTATTACATCTGGTATTAATGCGAATGCAAGGCGTTTACAGCTATCACGAGTGAAACTAAACCGTAGTGGGAGCACAGATGCATTGTTGGATTGCTTGGATAGCGAGGACCATCAAGATTCAATAAGCTCCACAACAGACAATGACTCTTTCGATAAAAGCTCTTTACAACAATTAGAACCAGAGGAGACAGAGAGTAATGACGAACCAGCGGCGTTTTACAACATAAAACCTCCGATAGACTTTCCGTATTTATTGACAATTCGGGGTTTCTCGCCTAATAATGATCTCTTGCTTTATGTGCTGAATGAACAAGTAAGTATGGTTGGCAAAATACAAGAGGGTATGAAGGAAGCCAACAAACCAGATATACAATTAGCGGCACCCGATGTCTTGTCGCAACACTGTTGGGTTTCGAAGAAGCCAGCCAATAGGAACTACAGGGTCAGGGACAATCCTGAAGACTGCGACATGATGGTTTCTGTAGATCCTCTTCCGAATGCCAAGGTCACCATTAATGGAGTCGCGATCACTAAGGAAACCGAACTGAAACCGGGTGATTTAGTCGCTATTGGACACCATTATGTTTTTCTCTTCAAGGACCCGACAATAATGAGGGAAATCCCGCAGAACTTGGCGTGGTTGAACTTTCAATCATCGTCACAAATCCAGGAATTAAGTAATGTTGAAATGCTTGTGAATCTTCGAGAAACTTTCAATGAACACCTCCGAAAGAAATCCCAGGAATACGACAAAAATGACGACAGGCTTAAGATAGTGTACAGTGCCATGGAAGAGGATGACCTATTGGAAAAAATTACATTTCTGTTAGATATTGACAGTACTGATGTATTCAAATTAACACCTGCCTACTTAATATGCATGTGTGTTGAATATTCAGCATATCATTGTGACCAATCAGCAACCAGGAAATTACTACTCAAGATATCAGTATTAGTACAGAGCATAGCATGGGTAAGCTGTTTTGATTTTAAACTTGACTTTCGTCTACCAATTAAGTTATGATTTGTATTAATTTTTAAGTACAAAAACAGGGTTACTATTGTTGGTCCCATCAATCCAATCATTCAGAATCATTTTTAAGATTTGAAATAATGGTACCCGGTATATGCATACGCATCAGTTTAAATTGAAACCTCATCAAATATGGCCGACTGGCAGCCATGGTAACCAATTGGACCTATTCCAACTGTGGCAATATAAACCATGGTTATTGGGCCCAGACAATGAATAAATCTTTTGAAATCTGGCTTGAATTCTGTTTTATTCAGAGTGAAAATGATATTTATTTAGACATAAAACGGAAAGCCATTTTTCAAAAAACAAAAAAAAACAAAAAAAACATGAATGACACCAGTGAATTGGAACAGTTAATAAATTCACTGTGCCTGTGCAATGTAGTGAACGAGTGTATGTATAGAGTTGTTCAAAAATGTTTTTAAAAATTATGTTTATTAATATAGGATGTATATCTGTGGATGTATTTGCTAAAAACAAATATCTAAAAAGATATATGATGAAAAAGATTACAGTGCTGCTTGGTGTGTCTTAATGAATAAAATGCTTGGTCTTGGATGTGTTTAAATGCTTCATTGGAGTTTGATTCATTATGCAAAATTTTTTTATATTATTTATATAATATAATTAATTACTATAAACAATAGTCCAACCATGCATTTAATCATTCTACTGTAGAATACTTTATTTTTGCTTAGAATTAATTTTCGCTGAAGAAATGATTCAGTAACAAATAAAATCCAGTGAATATACCATTATTTCCATATTTTTACATTGAACTTAACAAAAATCAGTAAAAATAAATTCCATACAAAACACCCACAAGGTCTATTCAGCGAAAATTAATTCCAGCGAAAATAAAGTATTTTACAGTATTTTACATAGAAGTACCGGTACCTGTACTCCTACGGGAACTATCCTTATGTAGTGGTACATCTCACTGAATGATCGTTGATTTTCAGGTAATATCTTTGGGTTAAATAAACATCCTAAGTAATTGTCGGTCCGCCAGGGGTAAATGTTGTCTATTAATTATTAATGTTGATTGTTTTCCATCTCAGGCTTTTCATTGCCAAATTGCATGACTACTTCAATAATTTCTCAACTACTTTGAAAATTTGAAATTAATAATTCAATTGGGGGGATGACAGTTTATGATCCCCCCTAATATTAATATTAATGAAAATAGATGCACTTTAAAAGCTTTTTTTTTTAAATGCATATACGTATTTGTTCTATTAAAAGCATATCTCTAATAAAAGCACATGTTAGCATTTATTGTACGTGTATACTGAATCACTCAAATAAGAATTTTGTTGATGATAGTTAGTCTTTCATGTAAGCGCATACACTTCAATAATACATACCGGTAAATGGTCATTTTTAAGCTAGTCTGAAACACAAATGATATAATGTTTTATGCAGGTCCTGTTAATATTCATCTGTAAGTACATTTGGTATGAGTTTATGTGAAAACTTAATACTGTAAAATCTGTATTAGAAGCCGCGACTTCTATTGAAATGGTACAATGCAACAGAGGGGATGCGGCTTCTATTAGAGCATCTACACATATGAGAAATGATGAATTTTTGGTTCTTAATTGTTCAAAAAGAATGGGTGCGACTTCTATTAGAGATGCGGCTTCTAATACAGATTTTACGGTAATAGTTTTAGAAAAATGACCACATGACCAGACTCAATTTGTTTTATGATTAATATCCCTTATTGCGTCATTGGATAAAGAATAGAAAACCACAATCGGAAATATGCATTTTTGTGCTGAGAAATTATTAATTACTTTGAATTTTTACTCCTAATAGGATAAAACAAAGGAAATTGCCAACAAGCAGCCTTCTAGGTAAGTGCACGTTAATCGTTTCTTTTTATAAGAAAACCATAAAAACAATTTTATACGCTTGGTTTCATCATTGTAATCCTAGCAGGTGGGACATTATACCTAGTGTAATTTCGATATAATACATATTGGCATACTACAAAGAAAAGTGTTAGAGGGCATACTTAGAAATAATGTCGAATAAAGCGATTCATACTGGTATTTGCCAGAATTTTTGAAGCCTGGTTTATTTCTCTTACATTTATCACACAATATATACATTGTAATTTGACTTGAAATACCTTGTGTTACATTATGTAAATTAGAAAAACATCTCAAGGTTTTGGTATGAGAAATATACTGATCACCAGTGCCTATTGTGGTTGTTACACCAACCCATGTTCAAATCCTACTTGCGATTGAATACAAAAAGGGTCAAAAGTTCACCAGTCAAGATTCATTCGTAGCCTATATGTTACTTCTAAGCAACTTTATTCGTTAGAAGCTTTGCTATCTTCACCAGGAATGTCAAATGTTAATTTTGTTCTTGTTGATGTAAGTATAAAATTGTGCGTTTACTGACATTTTACTGGGCAAATTGGTGATGTCACTGCCCAAATTGGTGATGTCACTGCGTAAATTGGTGAGGTCACTGAGAAAATTGGTGATATCACCTCACAGATTGGTGAGATAACTGAGCAAGTTAGTGATGTCACTGAGCAAATTGGTGAGGTCATTGAGCAAGTTACATCAATGCATAATTTGGTGTGGTCACTGAGCAAGGTGGTGATATCACTATGCAAATTGGTGATGTCACAGCATAAATTGGTGATGTCACAGCATAAATTGGTGATGTCACAGGATAAATTTGTGAGGTCACTAATAGGATACTTGTTACATCGATTAAATGTATGTGACTTAATTGTTCATTGTAGACCCAATGACGCTGTGATGTCCATGAAAGAGCTGTTCTCAGATCTACAGGGCATACTCTTCTGGATGGCAAATGCCTTAGAAATGCTCAATCACTTCCAGAATTGCTTAAACGATTATCTAATGAGTCCAGAAGAAGGTTTACCTCCTGGATCACGGTCATCGCTAGCAACGGCAGACGATGAAGTTCTCTCAGTTTTGGAAGAAGTGGTTATGTACACATTTCAACAGACTGTCTACTACCTCACTAAGGTAAGGAACCAAGCATTATTATTTGGGGTAGCATTACCAGGACAGTTTGGTATTAAATTAAAATTGCACAGATGATTCATTGCGCTGAGCATTTCAAAACAGGTATTTATAGTTTTTTGACACCCCCCCCCCCCACAAAGGGTTTTGTGGAACTCCACCCACAGCCCAAAATGATTAAGTCTGTTAGACCCCAAAACAATGCCCAATCATCAATGCATTAAACAATCAACTTTTGACCAATCACATGTTGTTGAAACATCATGTGACACCTTCCCTGTCACAGATGTCTGATTGGTTTTATTTGATTGGTTGATGAGATTCAAACAAATTTACCCATAAATTTTTATCACTGGATTTATCGACTGCTGTTGAGTTTGCAATAAAAGATACGTTGCCTAGGTGATGAAAATAAATGAAAACTACGTTAGTATTATAGTATTATGTTGGTAGACACCTGTTGGATTACATGTCCATATGAGGTGATGTGTTGGTAGTTTGGGTTAAATATATCAGAATGGTGTATTTAATATAGGACAGTGTTTCATGAACTCATAGAATAAATATATTTTGAATGCAGACAGTGTTTCTGGAGTTGGGTTTATTCTTTTGCAGTACTGAACAGTACTCCTCTACTGAAAATGAAAAGTTAACTTCTTTGTTTAAGAATTAATGTGGCTGATATAAATAACAAATTTGGAAAGGGCATCAAATAAATGTACCCCATCATTCATTATCAAAATTTATTTTACACAAAGATTTGGGTTTTTAGAACTTGACAAGTTGATGCATAACAAGTAGTCCCCCTGAAAAATTATTTTTCAAGTTTGGTGTAAGTTATTGATGTAAAGAACACTCAGTATTTTGAAGCGCTGATAAAGGTGTCAATATTACCCTTTATAACTACGGGGTCAAAAAGTAAAAAAGACAACTTGGTGTCTACTAGTTACAGTGATATGAGTTAATAAAACCCTTTCATTTAAGTCAGTTTTGAGAAGGAGATTTGAACGAGGGCAGCTACTTATCGACAGTGACGAGGATAATTTGCAGGTGTCACGACTGTTGGTATGTTAAGGAGACGACGAATGATTTCGAGTTATTGATCTGTAGCAAGTAATTGTCTTCTATTGTGGCCGGGAATACCATGTCGCACATGATATGAATACGTAATGAGCGTTAGATGTCCCTTTATTGAGTCACCGATGTCATATGCTGGAACAAATGGTGTAATAACCATAGGCAACTTTCAGAAATACCTAAGTGCGTTTGACAAAGAATCCTTATAGAGTGACATTGATCTGTATGTGTTTGTATGGCTGCAAATGCCGAGTCAACAATGATTTTTCCACTCTTTACGGACATTGGAGTCTGAAGGAGGTACAAATCAAATATGAACCCAGACGTACACTTAAAGTTCTTGGCTTCTTCATTCTTTTATATTTTTACAAAAATAAATAAATCCCAAACGACTTGAAATTTGATATCCTGATATAGAAGGGCAAGGATTCACGCATTTTCTGATGGCTGAAGCTGGTGGTAATATTCACACATTCTGCGGAGAGCCAAATGAATGGGAAAAACAATGTCTGCAGGCTATGTGTTAAAAGAGGCAAGATTTTGTTTTGTAGGAGCACTGTTATTTATCTCTTCTTATTTGGAGCATGATCATTGTGGTGGTGGTATTTCTAATTTTTTTTAGTTCACCTGTTGATCAAAAAGTCAATATTTGGCTAAGCAAAAGAATATGTATTATTGGAATTAAGAACGAAAGATTTTATTAATGGACTACCAATGTCAAAACTGTTGGACTCAAGAACATATTGTCATTGGATTTTTACAGCTACTAGGCATAGAAATTGTGCCAACATAAGTGCCTCCAAAAACAATCATATTTGTATTAAGTATATGTATTTGCGCATTTTTTTTGTTTATGCTGAAAATAATGTTGTTTGAGTCATGTGTATTTTTTTGGTTTTTACTTGATTTTCACTAGTGCTTCCTGACTGGAAATTATAACCCCTATTAAAGTACCGGTATAAGATACCCATGGCTAAAACTATTTTTCGTTTTGCACTCAGTGGAAGCCCAGGAAGGTGGTTGCATATTGAAAATGCCAGAATTGAGGCCAGTGAAATGAAACTTAGAAATGAAGTGATGAAACAAAATTTTACTTTAAGACGGTTAGCAACTCAATCTGAATTCCTGAGATGGACACAAACATATCAGAACACCTTCTGCACAAACACATTCTCATGCTGTTATTAACCATTTCTTTTCAACAAACCTTGATAACAATACCCTGTGTTGAGATCATTGTTGTTCCATTGTTGTAACCTGTCCCCTTCAGTGACAAAACTGTGAGCCGTTGTGTTTTGTTATCATGTTCAATTGGTTGAATCAATACAAAAACTGAAAGCCTTTGTTGTAAGGGGGTCATTGATTGATACATGGATACTAGATACTGACGTTTTCCCTGCAAACTGTTTTTGCGTTTAATCAGAACAATTGGGCCAGGAGTCCCTGCCCATAGACAGAATAACAGTTACCCGTAGTTGTACAATACTTGCATCATTTATTCTTGATGGCAACTTTTTCATGTTGCCATGATTACTATTGAAATTGTACAAAATATGATTTAATAGTCTTGAATCTGCTTTGTTTATATCATATAAAGTGAAAAATCAGTTGAATGAGAAAATTTGTAATTTAAAAATTCAATAAAATGATCTGTTTTTTGTTTAAAACAAGCATAACAGGTGGAAGTGAATAAACAGATGCTTTTATAATATGATGCGTGTGAAAATGAACACAAGGGTATGAAACTGTTGGTTAATTTAATTGATGTAATTCATCACCCGAGATGCACCATTTGAACTTTGGAAGCTCTGTAGAGCTATTAAACAGCTGTGAAATTTATTTTAATATCCTTGTAGCTCGACATTAAACTCTTTTCACCTACCCGAATGTTTTGATTGAAAATTAATTTAGTGAAAATTAAACCTGCCAAGTAACTAGGTAGTTGAGCAGTGTGGACTGGTGAAGCAAAAATTAATCACTCCTGGTATTTTTCCATGCTGAGGCAGGTAGCTGCACATTCAACACGTATTCTGGATTGCTTGATGAAGAATTTGTATCTAAATCTGAGCTTAACCTGAATAGGAAACTAACAAGACTTATTACAATAAGTGGAATCCTTGTATCTAAACTGAATATGAAACCAACATGACTAGAAGGATTGGCTCTTATTATTGGCAGTTTTATCCTGCCCCTTAGGTTTACATACATATAGGTCGCCATGCATGGTGAGAAAAAGTATGAGATTACAACAGACAACTGCAGTCAAGGGTAAAATGAGTATTGAACAGGTTGACCGGTATTGAACGTGTTGACCCCTTTCTACTTGACTACTTTGAACTTCAATAGAAAGTATTGTTTTGTGAGATGAAATCCGATCACTATCGGTAACCTCAAAGGTAATCTGTACATGCCACCCATGGCCTTCTCTGTCCTCAGTGTACATTAAATAACCTAGGAAACTGAAAAAAAGATGTCCATTGGATACTAATATCTCCAATTAAGATGGCTTGATACAGCTTTATGAAAGGCCGGAATATTGTTGCATTTTGCGAATAGATTGCTTATTACTGTGCAAGGTTATATGTGAACAAAAATGGGGGGCAGAGACCTAATTATTGAAATAAATATGATATCACTGTATGTGGATTTAATAGAGGGTCAGCAAGGGGTATTTTCGTAAGCTGTAATCAATTGTTTTTATTTTCATAATAACTTAATTTAAATAAATAAGAATTGTAAATTCATAGACATGGGCAAGGTGTAAAATGTAATCAGCTATTTTATTCGTCCGTAATTTGTATAAAGATCTTTTTTTTATAAGTGTATAAAGCATTTTTCACATTAAATGTCGTAATTCGTAGCAATTTTCAATTTTTTTTCTTAAACACAAATTATCAACTATATTATAAAAGTGTAAAATGTAAAAACCTATTTTTTACTGTAAATGAAACATTCATTATATTTTCTGTAAAAACGTAAAATACCCTTTTATTTCCTGTAACCTGTACCAGCTATCCCACTTGCCCCCCCCCCCCCCATACATTGGACTGTATGGGGGAAAGAGTGAAACACAACCTGTTGAATTAAAAAAGTCTTTGTGATTTTGACTTGAGGAATCTGGCTGTTTTAAGTCATTTGTTTGTTTTTTTTTATTTAAACAATATTTTTATTTTGTTTCAATAATGGACATACAACACAAAATATTACATCA